GGAACGGAGATGGACAGGAACATGGGGAAATGGCATTGTGAGTGGAGATATAGTGGAGAGAGCATGAGCTGTTCAGTTGAGTCCTGAAATACCCTGGCAGGCGGGTGTGAGCTGCTCTGAGAGCTCTGGACAGTCCAGAGACCTGGGTTCTAGTGTTGGCTTCACTACCAAGTGCTGTGAGCAGGGACAAGTTTCCCCAGTGGTAGGATGTGGGGACTGGCGCTCCCACTGCAGCTCTAAGAGGATGGCAAGTGCCATCCCAGCCACTGCGGAACGAGGGTGGGGGCGGCAGGATGATGCTCTGGGGTGGCTCTCTGCCCGACTGGCACGGATGCAGAGAGGTGCCAGCATGGGGCTCTTGTCATCTCCAGCTGGGATGTACCAAAACTAAAGTCTCATCTCAGAACCCACGATGATAAACCAATAATCTGAATGGCAGGGCCTCAATCAGCTTCCCGGGCACTCTGTGCATGCCATGACGTCTCCTGGAGCCAAGGACCAGTCCTCATGACTGAAGCTTAGGGACACTCATCATTTCAAACGCCCACCCCTCTTCTTCCCCCAGGCCTCCTGCTGCCTCTCCTTCTTCATGGCCATGCTTCTGGAGCACCTCCCCACATACTGTCTCATTTCATTCACTCAGTATTCACCGCCCGCTCTCCTCTCCCAGTGCCTGACCCTGCCAGGCTCACGTCACCAAAGGATGCACTATTACAAATACTATTCCCGTTGAGAGAGGCCAGAGACCAGGTCAGATTCCCCTCACTAATGTACGCCTGACGCTTAGCATGGTGCTTGGAAATCACACATCAGACCATACCAGATCAGTTCAGTCAGCCGCTCAGTCGTGTCTGGCTCTTTGTGACCCCATGGATTGCAGCATGCCAGGCTTCCCTAACAGTTGCTAAATAAATGACCAACTGATTGAATGGAAAGAAACTCAGGTTCAAGAAGGTGAACACCGGATGTAACACATACTATTTTTGTACAACAATTATACCAGAGAGATGGAGTCCTGTCTCCTCAACTAAAACGCAACATTCTAAAAGATGGGTGGTCGAAGGGGTAACTTCGCCAGGATTCCTGGCTCTGTCACCAAGTAGCTGGGTGGCTGACTTAACCGTCTGAGATTCAGTTTCCTCATCTGCAAAGTGGAGCTAATGTTTCCTAACTTATGTGCTGTGCAGGTTAGAGGAGACGACATATGCCAAGCACAGGACCTGGTACATGGAAGATGGTCTCTGAATGTCCCCTCCCTCTCCTCCCTGCCGGGAACCTCTCTGGCTTATCTCCCAGTCTTGACACTGCAGGACGAGCCTCAGGTTCTATGACCTCCAGGCCTGTGCTCTTTCTGTCTCCCTCCCTCGGGGTCCTGCCCCCCGTGCCTCTTCTTAACTGAAGCCTTTGGTGACCTCTCTGGCTGCCAAAGCGCCTCTTCTCATTTTCCACACTGGCTCTCCCTGCCGTCTCTCCAAGTCACCCTGCTTGTGCCCTAGGCTTTGCTTATTCTGTGCAAGCCTCATTCATCAGTATCGGCCGACCCTTGGTGGTGGCTCAGGCCGGAGTTCTTTCCGAATCTCCCAGCAGGTCCCGCGAGGTGTTTGGTGGAACCCCAGTCTATCCGTTTTGTGAAGTTCTGGAAACCACACTGGAGGCCTCCGGGCCTAGGTGGCACTAGCGGCTGGTGGTTCTGTGTAAGGAGCGCTGGCCTCACCTGGCCCCTGGGGCTTCCAGTCCCTCCCCTGTGAAAAGGGGGTGATGAGAGCTGTGGGGGCTGTCCTTGGGTGATAGTTTGGGAGAACTCAGGAAACAGTTCCAAATATCAGGCCCAGACGACAGAGCACAGGCTGACTCAGTTATCTTTTAGGAGGGCAGGGTTTTTTTCCCTTTCAGCCCAGGTTGGGCCTTGAGGGGAGAGGGTGGCACTGGGCTACTTTCTCTTCCTGGGGATCTAACCAGAGGAGGTTCTAATCCCCAGGACTTAAAACCGGGTGAAGGAGCGAAGCTGAAACTTGAACCTGGCAGGGCCTTCGCCCTTCCTCTCCCTCCCCTTCCACACAATCTTCTCTGACTCTGGAGAAAAACTGCCTGATTGTTTCAACCACTTCCTTTACATTTTCATACTTCTACATTTGGAGGGCTTTGGAAGGGGTACGCCCCCAGTCGGCCAAAGAACCGCGGCGACGAGGCTGCCTCCTGTGCCCAGAGTGCCGAGTCCCCGGGTTAAGAAGGAGGGCAGCGGCCCCCAGCCGGGACAGCAGAAGCCAGAAACCAGGACGACCAGACCCGACGACCCTCAGAGCCCTCACTACAGACACGAAAACTGCACCTCGCTGGGCTGCTGGGGGTTGGGGGGCGGTGCGCGCTCTTTCCAGAGTCCCTCCCAGGCCGCGGGGAACCGGGCGCTCGGGAGGGCGAGGGGGGTCGGAGCGCGCAGACCCGACAGCCTCGCGAGCGAGCTCGGGGACTCCGGCTTAGCTCTGCGCCCACCGACGCCCACCCGCCCTGTTGTGCTTGCGATTCAGCCCAGTGACCGCGGCTGGGCTCCCTCCGGCTTGCCCAGCGACTTGTGCGAACTCCCCGTTTCATTCCTGCCCCTGTCCCGACTTCTGCCAGGAGGTGCCTTGGCTTCCATACCACCCCCATCCCCAACCAAGTTTTGCGTCTGATCTTGGAAGGAGGCGAGCTTTCTGGGGGGTGGGGGGAGGCGGGGAGCAAGGTATTGAAACTAACAGTGTTCATCGGCCACTACCTTCCGAAGTGCCGCCCGCACTCCGCTGTACCCTCTGGGCCACCCCAGAATCTGCCGCGAGGGCGGCGGGCGAGGGGATCGCGAGCAGAGTTGCTGCACCCGAGTCCCCGATTCTTCCCGGCGTCTCGCCGCGCGCCCCTGCATAAGCGCGGGGGCCCCAGCACACTTGGCTCCAGCCCCAGGGCGGCTCTGAAACGCCTCTCATTCGCAGCCACCCAGCCGCGCGAGCGCCAGTCGGAGCCGCCACCCGGGCCAGGGGTCCCCGCGGTGGAGCGCGAACGCCCGCCCCGGCCGGAGAGGGGACGCAGCCTCCCGGCGCCCGAGGGGCCTCCCCCGACCCCCAACCCCCGCCAGTCCCCACCCCTCCCCACCCAGGGCCGCCTGCCCAAAGCCCCGAGCCCATTGCAAGCCCGCTCCGGTCCGGTCGGGCACGGTCCCGAGGCCGCGGCAAACCCACCTGGCCGCCCCGGGGACGCCGCTCGTGCCCGGGTCGTGTCCTGAGCGCCGCCAGGGTCCCGGGCTGGGAATCCACGCGGCAGCGCAGCTCAGGGGAGCCTGCCGCAGCCGGCGGGAGGTTGTCATTGATTCGTGCAGGGCGAGTTAAGCCATTCCAGGAGTGGTTTTGAGAGAGCACTCCCACCCCTCCCTCCAACCAGAAGTATTTGGCAGGCAGCCCCTTTTCGTCCACCTGTACTGTTGAGCGCGGGACCGGGACCAATTTTACCAGTCGCGCTTTACTCCTCAGTTTCTGATACGCAAAGTAAGCCCTTTCCTCAAAGGGAATGCAGAAATGAAAGCAGGGTGATGGGGGAGTTCTCCCGCCCCCCACTTTCCTCTTGGGTCTCACTGTTTATTTTTTTTTTTTCTCTAATATTTCACAAAATGCCTTACCATTTATCTCAAATCAGGGGTGGCTTTTCATTGTCACTGTCCCTCCCCCCCCCCCCATTCTGCATGTCTTTTATTTTTAGAGGCAATTTGATTCCCATTTGCCTGAAACCTGAGCCCAATAAAACTACTGGCATTATATGTTTTCTCTTTAAAGGGTCGTGAGTGTAACTTACCAAATAAAACACTGCACAGCAAGCATTCAAGTGGCAAGTGACAAAGAGGGAGGTGCAGGAAGTAGGCAGAGAACCCTCCACTGGGTTGCCCAGGGGAACCTGGCCCAGAGGGAGTCCGGAGGCCTGAGGTGGGGGTGCCTATGGCTGCTCCTCCCCAACAACAAACACAGTATCACCAGACTGGCTTTGGCTTTGCTCCTTTCTAAGACTGACTCAGAAATGCCAACCAGAGACCCAACAGTCCACATTTGGGGTGGGCCAGCCACCAATCCCAGAGAGGTGTGGCGGGGCGCCCTTGCCCAAACTGTTCCTTGAAACCACACACCACGCCCTTTTCGAAAACTGCCAGCTAGGAGGCGCCTGCTGCTGTCAGCCCCCTTCCCCAATAACTGTCCTTCACTTGGTTGGGGGGGTGGGGGGGACCCTTCATGAACTCCTTGGTACCTAGGCTGGCAGTTCTCAGAAGTGGGGGAGGAGCAGGGGGTGAGGGAGGGATCCTTCTTCCCTGGTGACCAGCTCCCCCATGTGAGATGGAGAATCAGCAGGAAAGAAATGAGACCAAAGAGAGGCCTGGACCTCACCACCTCTACCACCAACACGAAAGCACCCCAAAGCCAAAGGTAAACCCCCAAGATCCATCAGTCGATGAAGGCCAAGGTTGGGACAGAGGGCTTGCAGCATGCCAGGAAGAATGGTTCAGACTTAAATGCCTCCTCCAGCAGGTGCCCCCTGCCTGAAATCCCAGCGTTAATGATTCATGCCTTTGTGGGCCACGCCCCAGCAGAGAGTCTGCTCCAGGCAGGCAAATTTGCTTCAGAAAGGCAGGAAGGGTCTCTCTCTCTGTGTAGTTCTAAAACTGTAAATACCCATGGGTTGGGGGCAAGAGTCCCTACAAAGCGCTGGAAGGAGTTTGTCAGATCTTCTCTGTATGGTAGGGGGTCACGGATAGCAGCCTGTGGGGGGCAGAAAGGTTTGGCATGGGGAGGTGGTGAGGAAGGCAGGGGAGGGAAGGGGAGGGGGTGTGAAGTCAGGGAACTGGGCACTGAGGTCAGAAGGGAAGGTGCTTAATCAGGGCAGGTGGACAGTTTCCAAGACTGGATGACTCCATAGCTTTTTATCAAAAACTCCCGGAACACCCAAACCAAAGAATGAAAAGTCAAATCCCTTTGTCCACAGAGGCGCTAATGAAATACCCAATCAAGCGCAACTCCACACTCCACTCCCAGGCCCCGTGGGTGAAGGTGCCAACGCATGACCTGGATGGAGTCAGGATCAATCCAGAGGTGTTGGCTGTGCGCCCACAAGTTGAGGTTTGGTTCTGGCGGCTTGGGTGGAGGTGGGGCGCCGTGGGGTGCCAGCCTCGGAGCCTCAGGTCTTGTGAAGAGATAAAGCACCGGGGGGTCATCGGCGTGGGGCAGGGTCCACAGAGCACTCTTCAGGGCCCATTAAGGAACCGGGTCCTGCAGTCATGAAGACAGAACTCCTGGGTGGGGGGAGAGGGCTCCCGGAAGTGGTCCCTTGGGCCTGGAAGTTTGTGCTGCTGTGAGCAGGGGCAGGAGTGAGGGCTAGGGGACAGGGCAGCTGGCCGGGTTTACGGGGTTCTCCCAGGGGATAAACCATCAGGCTGACAAGGGAGACCCAGTTTATGGATACAACTTCCAGCTAAAAGGAGAGAGTACAGGGCAGAGCCTGCTTTGGAGGGAGGGAGGATTGGAGCACCTCTTTCAAACCCAGCTGGAGCTGGATGTGGGCAGAAGGGGAGGAGGAAGGAGGCTGCAAGGGAGGGGTGGCGGAGAGTTGCGTGCCCAGCCCAGCCTGCCCCTAGGCGTCTCCTCCTAGCAGGGCTCTGGCCCCTGGACCTGAAGGAGTGTCTGAGTAGGCCAGTGGGTGGTGCCAGGGCTGACTGTATTGCAGCCAAGAGCCCCGGGGGAGAGCTGGCCACAGTCCAGCCCACTGGCTGGGTACCTCGGTGGACAGTGGATGTCATTGCGCCCTCCCCCTTAATCACTGTGTGTGCGTGCTAGGCTGGGACCCGCCCTTTCGGAAGGGCTATGGGCAAATAGTGGGGAGCCCTGCCCCAGCCCCCCTCCAGCTTCGCCTCTCCCCTGTTCTCAGCCCCCAAACCAGCTGCCTCCTGAGAACAGGAACCTAAAGGAGTCTTGGCGGGTGGGTGGGGGTTGGCGAGAGAGGCTCCCACAGCCACACAGAAGGGGCTCAGGGCGGGCCAGACTCCAGATCTGTTACTGTGCCTCTCCTCTGGGGAGGTGGTTCTCGCCCCCTCCCTCTTACTCACCCCCTCTCCCCCTCCTTCCCGCCCCACCCCCTTCCTGGGTCAAGTCGGTCAGAGCACTTGGAAACAGGCTGGCTTACAGACGCCTTGCCTTCCACATCTGCCTCCAAACCCACAACACACTCTTGTTCCAGGGCGGATGAAAGCTCCTGCTCCAACCACCAAGCAATGGCTCAGAAGGCTAAACAGAAGCACAGGCAGCAAATTGGCTACCGTCAACTTGCAACTTCAGTGGTGCCCTGTCCTCAGCTGTGATGCAGGCACGCAGACAGCTTCTGTCTGGGCATGCACACTTACTGAATGTCCGTATACACGTGTGTAGAGAGGTGGACACAGAGACAGGCCGTGTCATCTGAGAACATTAATCACTGCCGGCTACGGAGCATCTAGCCCCTCACTTAATCCTTGCAGCCACACTAGGAGGTAGGTCCTTTCATTCTCTCCCCTTTACTGATGAGGAAACTAGGGCTCAGAGAGGCCATATCACTTGTTTGAGGTCACATGACTTGATAAATCATAACCACTGGACATAACACCTGAGTCTTTGGACACTGCTGCCCAGAAGCTGACCCCAGGCTTGGGCTCTGGCTCTTTGTCTGATTTGTACAACTGGCTCCCTAAGGAGCAGTTTGCTTTGCTGGTGTGTGCCTTGGTTTCCCCGATCTGCTGAACAGGCAGAGTAATGGCTCTTACTGAACTGAGAGGCTGTTATTGGCCAGGAGGAGGCTGAGATGGAGGTTAGGCTTTGGTGAAGTGCAAGAGCAAGTCTTCCCTAGAGGATGCACGTGGCCCTGGGGTGAGTGTTACTCAAGCTGGAAACCCAGAGTCACCCTTGCTACCTCCCTCTCCTTTCGCAACTTGCCCCCCAGTCCTGCTCCAGCCAGTCATCCATGTGCAAGACTCAGATCTCCAAAGCAGATCTCGGATCTGCCTTCTTCCTGCCTCCGCCCCCACGACCCCAGCCATCACCCCCCCTGCCCTTGACTTGTGCAGGGAGGACCCCTCACTGGCCCCCCTGCCCCTACTCCTGTCCTGCTCCTTCCACCCAGCGCTGCCCAGGTAATCTCCAAACGTGCCTCTGGCCACATTGCAGAGCACTTAACATGTGGTCCAGATGGCTCTCCACGGCCCACGAGGCACAGAGAAATCCCTGCCTGTCTCTCCACACCCACCCCCACCTCCCACGCCATCCTCCAGTCACAGGCAGACACACCAGTTCCTCTGCCTTCCTGCTATGGGAACTTCCTTGGCCTGCCTTGCCCACCCCTATCCCAGGTTGTGAAGATGCGTCACCTCCTCAGAGAAGGCTTTCTTGACTACCACAGATAAATTAGAAAACCCGCCCCCCTCCCCCATTATTTGTTTCTGACCCTTAGTCAAAGCACTCATGCAGCTTGCATGCTTATATTTGATGTCATGTTTACATTGAACTGGTGGGTCAGACGGTGAAGTGTCTGCCTGCAATGTGGGAGAGCCGGGTTTGATCCCTGGGTCAGGATCCCCTGGAGAAGGAAATGGCAACCCACTCCAGTACTCTTGCCTGGAAGATTCCATGGACGGAGGAGCCAGGTGGGCTAAAGTCCATGGGGTTGAGAAGAGTTGGACATGACTGATCGACTTCACTTTACATTGAACTCTATTTGGCCATCCCTCCCACTGGAACAGAGGCTGCTTGTGGGCTGGGGACACGGTATGTCTTTTTCACTGTATATAGTTGGGCTTCCCTGGTGGCTCATTGATAAAGAGTCCGCCTGCAGTGCAGGAGACTTGGGTTCAATCCCTGGGTCAGGAAGATCCCCTGGAGAAGGAAATGGCAACCCACTCCAGTATTCTTGCCTGGGAAATCCCATGGACAGAGGAGCCTGGCAGGCTACCATCCAAGGGGTTGCAAAGAGTTGGACACAACTTAGCACCTAAACAACCAACAACAAAAACATACCTGAAAAATACAAATAAACAAAAAAACATATTTGATACAGGTTAGCCTCCTGATAAATACACTGGGGGAAAAATATGCTTATAGAGAAAACCATAGATCCAGGAGACAGGAGGACTGACTCTAGTCCTGGCTCGGCCACTGGCAGGCTGCGTACCCCTGGAGGTGCACCCGCCCTCCCCCATCCTCATCTTCATCCTCTGTCCGGGGGAACGATTCCCAGGTGGCTCAGAGGGTAAAGCGCCTGCCTGTAATGTGGGAGACCGGGTCCAATCCCTGGGTCGGGAAGATCCCCTGGAGAAGGAAATGGCAACCCACTCCAGTATTCTTGCCCGGGAAATCCCATGGACAGAGGAGCCTGGCAGGCTACCATCCAAGGGGTCGCAAAGAGTTGGACACACTTAGCAATTAAACAACAACAACAACAAAAACATACCTGAAATACACAAATAAAAAACATATTTGATACAGGTTAGCCTCCTGACAAATACAGAGGAGCCTGGTGGGCTGCAGTCCGTGGGGTCGCAAAGAGTCAGACATGACTGAGCGACTTCACTACTGGGGAACTAGGGGTGAGATGACGACCAGGAGCCTGACCAGGTCGACACGCAGCAGCCAGGCTGTCTTTCATCCTCAGAGAATAAAAGTGTAGGTGCCAATAAATAAACAAGGCGAGAACCCTGGCTGTCAGGTATGTGAAAGGGCTTCGGGAAGGTTTCGCGTCCATTGTTGGCCCCCGGCTGATTCTTGATGCGAACCAGCTCCTGAGGACTGCGGCATTCTCACATTCCTGAGCACTCCTCCCCCTGCACCCCACCCCCCACCCCAACTCTGCACAGGCTGCCACACGAGTGTGAAAACAGGACCACACGCAAGTGAACTAGCAGGAGACCCAGTCGGGGCTGATTTTATCTGGGGATTACCAGCCAACAGCCGTGCTCCCCCGCCTCGCCACGTCTGAGGGCCCAACCTCTGAGGAGGCCTGTGTGTGCGGTGCTTTTGGGTGTCCGTGGCTTCTACACCCATCACGCTGCTTGGCTTTCACAGCGACCCTGAATCCCACTCTGCAGATGAGGAAACTGAGGCTTAGCTTAAAAAGTGAGTGAGTGGCTGAATGGAGCTCTTTGAAATCAGAGATGCAAAACTTTCATGAGGTTAATATTCTTATAAAAACTTATGTATATGAGTATATAATTTGAAAGAGAATATTGATATAGCTGAAAAAACAGATGAGAAGGTGACCCATAATCCCACCACATTGAGGCAATGCGACCACCACAGGGTAGGACCCCTAGTCTCTCTTAAGTGCTTCAGTGGCCACGACCCACCCACCTCCCCCCAACTGGAGCCGACAGTCCTCACCCCCCACCACCAACCGCCTCACTAAACACCGGCTTCACCTGACATTCGACTTTGCACTTCTTAGGTGTTCAGAAAATGTCTAATTAAACATTTAATTAAATTTTGAGGAAAACTCAACTGGCTGGAGCAAAAAGGGGCCGCTTCAGACGCACCTGGCCTCTTCCAACACAGCCCAGCTTCCTGTCTACCACAAGTGGAGTCCTCACTCCTCTGAATTCCCCGGTTTGTACTATGCTCACAAGGATGTCCCTGTAATCACGCAGCTCTATCACTTTGATCCTCAGATCAGATTTTATTCACATGTATTAGAATGCCAACGTGAGATAACAATTCATCGGCTCTTGAGCATCGAGAACAGAGAAGGAGCCACGACTGAATCTAAGCGAAGCTTATACAGTCACAAAGTTTATCCGAATCTGCCCGTGGCCAGAGCTGCACTCACTTCTGCTTCTGGGTCTTAGGGCAGCAGATGCATCACCCAGGACCCACTGCAGTTGGCCGGACACCTTGACCTAACTCCCTGACTTCTTCAAGCACACAGAGGTGATGTGGGGAAGCCCCTGGCCTTTGGTTGCCCCGTCCAGTGGGCACTGGAGAAGAAGGTGAGGCCCAGTGAGGGTGGCCGGGTACTGGGAGCCCTCCCCGCCTCCTCAGGTAGGCTGGGAGACTAGCTGGGGCTCGTCCTGGCCTCGGGTGGGGGCCTCTGAGAGGAGGTTCAGGCTGAGCACAGGGTGCCCGGGTGCCGGAACTGCTGTCTCCGGGGCCGTGAGGGGGAAGTACCCAGCCAGGCTGGGCTCACGGCAGACTCGGTGTGCTCAGCCCGAGGGCTCAGGGCTGGGGCTTCGCCCGCCCGGAAGACTGTATTGTGCGGCGCCCTCGGGAGGAGGGGAGGGCCCGCGAGCCTCAGCAGAGCAGCTGGTGCTCTGGGTGACTGGGCCTGTCACCGCCGGAGCAGGTCGGGGGCGGGCGTCCAGGGAGGAGGGCTTGGCCGGTGGGGGCAGTGGCCGGAAAAGGGCCACACTTCCGGCCGGGGAGGCAACGCCCCTCGTCCGTTCCTTCGTCCCTCCGGCCTCCTTCCTTTCCCAGGTGTATAGGGACTGCCTCCCCGTGGCCCCCACTGCTTCGGCCGTGGCTATAAGGTGAACACATCACACGACATCTTCACATGTCACGTCTCCATCCTCATGGAGCTGATCTTCCAGTAGGGGAGAGACAATGAACAGATAACCATCTACCATGAAGTCAGCTGGGTGAGGCCAAGTCTTTGTCCCTGGTCTTTTCCTTCTTTGTCGCCCAGGGCCTCTCACCTCATTTGATCCCCACCCCCAAGGGGCCGGGAGAGCCGGATTTCTAGCTCCCACAGACCGTGAGGCAGTGAGGTTGGGGGTGGGGAGGTGACTTGCCCAAGGTCATACTGGGCACAGTGGTGAAGACGCTGCATGTAACCCCAGCCAGCTGACTCCTTGCCCAATGTTCCCGGCACTGTCTTCCCCAGCACAGTCACCTCGTCTTAACTGCAGAGCAAGGAGACAACTTAACTCTGTGCTTCTAGCAGTGTCTTTTTTTTTTTTTAAGGGGATATTTATGCACAGAATACTAAAAAAAGCAAGAAAGGAAGGAAGGCAGGGAGGGAGACAGAGAGAACGCAAGGAAAGGAGGAAAGAAAGGAAGAGAGAAAAAGGAAATAAGAATCTCAACCTTGAGAAACAACTAACTTACCTAATATTAAATGACCCTTACGAGACAGGCCCCTGTGGGTCTAGGCAGCGTAGGCAGCTGAGGTGCAAGCTATACCGGCTACAAACTCTGGCCTCGACCCAAATTTTCTTTGGTAAATAAGGTGAAAGTTGGCCTATCCTTCCTGGGTCCCTGCAAATGTGGGAGGCCCCCTAACCCAACCAAACTGTTGATAGCCTTGAGCATTAACATGGATGCCCACTTGTCCCTTAGCTGGTGTTTGACCAGGAGGAGGAAGGGTGGTGACAGGAATGGGGAAGATGATGCAGGGCTGTGTGTGCGCGGGCTCGCTCGTGGGGGTGTACTGTGCACGGAGACTGGTGAGTAGAGGGGCCCGCAGCTGGGCTGGATGACTGCTGGGGAAGGGGTATACACCAACCCCTTCTCTGTTGGATGAAGCCATGAACAGGGCTCCAACACCCTCCAGAAAAGTGTCTGCCCTAAATGGTCTCAAGGTGCGCAGGCAGGGGGTGGCCTTACCCCTCCCCTTGTGCTGGTCAGTGTGCCCTTGCCGGGGTGGGGGTGGGGGTTGGTGCTGAGAATGGCTAACACAGCCCATGATCCTGCTTGAGGGCCAGACAAGCCAACCAGGCTGGATGGGCAGCCCAGTGACCTTCACTCATTGAGGCTGGCGTTTTCATTAAGGTCAAGGGTAGGTCTGTAGGATGAATGGGAGAACAAGGCAGAACTGAATGGTCACGATGGAGATCAAAACAAGGGCCTTGCCCTCCCACAAGGACCACATCAAAGAAAAGACTCGCTGTTAACCCCCAAGGACAGGAAAATAATGATAATCATAATAGTTGCAAGCACTAAGGCATCATTTCTTTTAATCCTCAGCAACAATTCTATGAAGTCTATATATTATTATTCCCTTTTTAGAGAATGGCAGCTCAGAGCCAGGATTTGAACCCAGGTCACAAAGACCACCGTTAAAAATCACTTTTAATCATGCAAAAGTGCATGAGGTAGCTCAGAATATTTTTGGACTTTGAGTAGAGTGGGAGAAATCAGAGTGAGACAGAAGGTTAAGTCCCATTAATCATAACGGGGGAAAACATTAGGGCAGACCCTTGTTTGAGGCTGTCCATGTTGTTTGGGGTATCCCAAGGCCTAGCTTAAATAGCCATCTGCCCATTAGAGTTAGCAGGCTCACCTAGCAGTGAGCTCTAGGACCAGTAAAGTCCTTGGTAAAGACTTTACATTTACATGGAATTCCCCAAGCCAGAATACTGGAGTGAGTAGCCTTTCCCTTCTCCAGAGGATCTTCCCAACCCAGGGATCAAACCCAGGTCTCCCATATTGCAGGCGGATTCTTTATGGGCTGAGCCGCAAGGGAAGCCCCCCTTGAAGAACAAAAAGGTGTAAGAGCCTGCACTGTGTTCTGTAGGCGAGTATGGACTGCAGTGGTTGGAGCGTGGTGCTGTCACTCAGAAGATGGACTTCCGGTCTTCTGCTGGAATCTCTGGACTGCTGGTTGCAATGTAGATTCCTGGAACCCTTCCTCAGACCACTGAATCAGAATCTAAACCCCAAGTCTCTATTTTCACTGATGCTGGGGCTTCCACGCTGAGGGGATAGAGGCAGTGGTGGCGGGTAACCGATTGGTTTGGCCTTGCTGGTGAGTGCTGTGCAGACACTGTCACTCACCCAGGTCCTTTGGGTGTATGCTGAGGGTGGGGGTGCGGAGCAGAGATCGCATGTTAAGCATGATTCTTTACATCAACCATTTTTTTTTTATGTGAAACACTTTTAATGACAGCTTCCAGTAATCACTCATGATGAAGATTTTGTGGAGCTCCTAGGGCGTTCTGAATACATCAACCATTTTTAATAGCTGCATAGAGCACCAGCGAGCGGACACAATATCGCATACATAAGCACTCCATCCTCTTGAACACTCGGAGCTTTTCCATATTATAGGTAGAGTACTACCTATAATGAATGAACATCCCCATATTTTGATTGTTGTCTTAGATTCTCAGAGAAAGGATGGGAAGTATATGAACATTTTCATGGCTCCTAATATATAGCACTAATTTGCATTTTCCAAAAAAAATATTGCATATTTAGGCTGACCTGGCAATGTTCAAGAGTGTCAGTTTCACCACAGCAGCTGCCAGTATTTCCACAATCTCACTTTAAAGATAAGGAACGGAGGCTGGACTTGTCGAAGTGACCTGTGGCCCGTCTGAAGTTACACTTAGTCAATGCCAGACTGGGGACAAGAACTCAGGGATGTCTTATTCACCAGCCAGGGTATTTTGCTGCTACGGGCTTTCCCAATCTCCAACCAGGCAGGAGGGAAACCATCAAGCCCGGCGCATGGTTCCCTCTCTGTCTCCCTCTCCCTGCCAGCTCTGATGTCAGCTGCCCAAGGAGCTCACGTTTCAGGGCTTTTCACTGTTTTTCTGCTTCTAAAACCGGGGCCTCTCCTCTCTCAAGCTCGCCACCTTCCGAGAACCTTCCTCCGATGGTTCAAAGGAAATCATCATATACTTGAACTGCGGGTTAGATGTAGATAAGTGGGTGGGGAAGCAGTGGGACAAAGGTGAGGTGACAGCCAAGGAAAGAGACAAAGGCCAGCCAGACTGGCCAGAGCAGTGGGTGCTGCAAGAGGAAAGATACAGCGAGAAGGTGGTTGGGGCCAAATTAGGGAGTTCAAGTCTGAGGGACTTGAGAGCATCCCTGGCCAGACACCTGCTGCTATGGGGACAGGGGTTGTTTCCAGAGGAAAGCTGGGCAGGGCCCTTAACCGGGTATCTCAGTGGGTCTCAAAGGATCCTTAAACCCTCCAGCTAGACCATAAGAAAAAAACTACAAGAATATCTGAGTATGCTCTTTTTCAGGACAGACAGCCCAATGTGTTCAGATTTTCAAAAAGGTTTCTAACCAATCCCACTCCCCTTCCAAATTTCAAAGCAAAATTAAAACGAAAGGTTAAAGTCAGCTAGAAATACAAACTTTGTTCCTGAATTACACACACACACACACACACATATATTTTTTACCCATGGTAAAAAGAGAGGAAATAATTATAGATGGTCCTTCTCAGATAGGTAGATGGTAGATAGATACGTAGGTAGGTGATAAATTGATTGATAGGTGATTGTAGATGGTAGACAATTGATAGATGATTTCTAATGATAAATGATTGATAAGCAATTGATAGAACAGATCTATAGATAGCAGATAGTCCCAGTAAAGAGTTATTATTTGTGCCACCTGTTTTCTTCTTTCTTCCTGCGTGACATGGAGCTGGTGGAGCTGGGAGGAGCTGGAAAACCTGCTGGTGAGGTGTTCAGATCACTGCCCTCCAAGAACGATCAGAGGCAAAGATAAAGCCTTTTGTGAAGTGACAAAGTCAGTTAGTGGGAAAATGGGATTTGGTTTCACAACTTGTCCAGAGCCATCTCTTGTGTAAGACGGGACGCCCTTGAAAACAATCACAGTGAGCCCTTCTCGAGCACTTAGTGGGTGTCAGACACTGTGCTAAGTGCTTTACAAGCGTTATCTTGTTTACCTCTCAGCAGCGCTGGTGATTCGGGCAGCACTATACCTCCTGTTTTACAAGAGAGGAAATGGAGGCCCTGGGATGTGAAGTCACCAGCCCCAGAGCAAACAGCTGCCAGTGGAACAGTGGGTACCGGAAGCCAGCCGGGCTGGGTCATGGAGCTGGGGCTCGAGACAGCCTTTGAGAGCGTCGTGTCATGTGGTCAGTAATCCACCCCATCTCTGTCTTCCACAAAAGGGCTGGACCCTGAGTAGCTTGGCCCTACTGTTCTCTTCTCCTTTAAAGGAATAGTCTAGTGAATATACTTGAAATTATCCAGGTTTATTGTCAATACTTATGGAAAAAAAGTGCTGGTAGTATTAATAGTAATTATAGTCATACCTCCCATTGACTGAGCATCTGAGTCAGACAATACACAAAAGTCTGTAGAGTCATTTTAATTCCATCCTTACAACGAGCCTCCAAGGTATCAGGGGGATCCCTTTTACGGATACGGGTGCTAAGGTCCAAGGAGGTTTAGATAACCTGCCTGATGTCAGCGGTGAGTGGAGGAAGGCTAGACGGCACCCCTGCTCTTTTCAGTTCCCTGTCTCTTTCTGGGCCACGCAGGGCACAGAGGTGCAGGGGTTGGCTGTCTCGTTGGGCCTGATGGTTGGGGCATGGAAAAGGCCCAGGTCAAAAGAAAAGAAAGAGGGGAGAAGAGAAGGAAAGGAAGTAGGGAAGAAGGGAGTGATGGAGGGACAGGGGAAGAAGGAAGGGAGGGAGGAAGGTCACACGGATGGTAGCACAGGCGATGCGTCAGGCAGCACCAAGATAGGGATGAATGACCCAAATCTAGAGTTACAAAAGCCCCACCAGAAAGTGGCCAGGGTAAGTGACTCAGTCCCC